TTATATCTATGACATAGATATTAATACAATAATGAATTATTAGATTCAAGCCATTTCAAATGACTGATACATTGATACAACTTCCAAACTACTGACTAGTTTAAAATTATAAAACTACACATTATGTACATTCAAATGGTATCTACATTATTCTCTAAATGATAACTATCAATTAGAAATAATACATTTAAACTACAAAAAAAAATCTACATAGGTGAAGTGTCAAGCCCAGATAGGTCCCAGTGGGGTATCCCCACAGTTGACCAATTTTGTTCAAATGAATGACCTTCAATTATATTCAAGGTCACATGGGTCAATTGTCTTAAAAAACCTTGAAACAACTTCTTCTGAATAATCAAAATGCCCAGGGTGATGATATTTGACCAGTAGCATGCTGAGATGAAGGGCTACAAAGTTTGTTCAAATGAATGACGTTCACCCATATTCAAGGTCACAGGGGTCAAATATGTTAAAAACTTTCAACAACTTCTTCTCAATAACCAAAATGCCCAGGGGGATGATATTTGGCCAGTAGCATGCTGAGATGAAGGGCTACAAAGTGTGTTCAAGTGAATGACCTTCTCCCATATTCAAGGTCGCAGGGGCCAAATATGTTAAAAACTTTAAACAACTTCTTCTGAATAACAAAAATGCCAAGGGTGATGATATTTGGCCAGTAGCATGCTGGGGTAAAGGGCTATCAAGTTTGTTCAAATGAATGACCTTCACCTATATTCAAGGTCCCACGGGTCAAATATGTGAAAAACATTAAACAACTTATTCTGAAAAACCAAAATGCACAGAGTGATGATATTTTGGCCAGTAGCATGTTGAGTTGAAGGGCTACAAAGTTTGTTTCAATGTATGGCTTGAATCATATTCAAGGTCACAAGGATCTAATATGTTCAAATTATTTAAAAAACTTGTTCTGAATAACCAAAAGGCTCAGGATGTTGATATTTAGTCAGTAGCATGCTGGGATCAAGGACTACTATGTTTGTTAAAATGAATGATGGCCTTATATTCAAGGTCACGGGGGTCAAATTTGTTTAAAATCTTTTAACGACCTCTTCTGAATAACCATTGGTCCCAGGATGTTGATACTTTGCAAGTTGCATCCTGAGATGAAAGGCTGTACAATTTGTTCAACATAATAACTCTGTTCGACTTTCAATCACAAGGGTGAAATGTTTTTAAAAAAATTAACAGGGTCTTTTGAATGAATTTTAATCATAAATACTGATATTTTGCCTGTAGCTTTATTTTAGATCACTTTTAAGGTTACAACTGTGAGATTTATACCAGGTTAGCGATGCAGGCCCATTGGGCCTCTTGTTAGGAGCCACAGGCTTAGAACCACACCTTATATTAGGAACCACAGGTATTTTAGGCTTAGAACCACGCCTTATATTAGGAACCACAGGTATTTTAGCCTTAGAACCACGCCTTATATTAGAAACCACGGGTATTTTAGGCTTAGAACCACAGCTTATATTAGAAACCACAGGTATTTTAGGCTTAGAACCACAGCTTATATTAGAAACCCTGGGTATTTTAGGCTTAGAACCACAGCTTATATTGGGAACAACAGGTTTATTAGGCAGCTGGCACATTAATTATTATGCACCTTCCATTATGAAAAGGTGGCCAACATTACGAACCACGGCCCATATTAGTATTCAGAGTGCACAAGGGGAAAATTTGGAATGACCTAACAAAATAGCAATGAAACACTATAGGCCTAGGCATATCTCAATCTTGCAACCCGAGACTTAGACTGCGGAATGAACTTCATCCAATATTATATAGAATATATATCAATGCAAATACATTTACACATTAAACATTCTAAATAGCTAAGTGATTACCTAATAATAGTTTATCCCATTTAAACCAAAATGTTCCATTCACTGCCTACGTTCTCCATTGGTTGTAATGCTATGGTTATTAATTTGGTTCTTGCTGAGAAAGAACACAAGGTATTACAGGAGCCGCCATATTGTTTACACATCGCTAGGGCACACTGCAATAGTATGCACGATTGATTGGTCGATACGAGCTTGATAGAACACTGCTCAATGGTCGACCAATTATTGAGCTTTATTTTTGAACAGTCGAAAATGACTTCGGTGGGTGTAATTCTTGTGGAAACCTCTCCGTATTTTTTGCACTTAAGTGCAAATATTTTTTTTTACACTTAAGTTTAAAAAATGTACATAATGGTCATTCAATAGTTTTGGACTTACATAGTTTATGTATTTTATCCTAAAACGGCCGCCCATAGACCACATGCAAAATTTGAAATGTATTGGTCGAGTGCAATCTGCTGCATCGCACCACAGGATTCTGAAAGTCTGTCAAATAATAACAATGAACACCTATAATAGAGCAAAATTATCATCACAAGATAAAACAGTGTACAAAAACCCTGGGTTGTTAATTGAATAAATGTTTTAACAAGTTCGTAACAAACCTGTCTTGAAGAACACACCACATCATGTTTCAATAGTACTGATAAAATATCTTGTGATGTACATGTTTGATAGAGAAATCATTGCACTCCATTTTTTGCCGGTCATAATCTCTAAACCATCAAATATTCTCTAATAACGATGGGAAGCCCCATGTGCGGTAAGGTAAAAGTCACCTTGACAATCCAAATCCGACTGATTGGGTTAGTCTAATATTACATCTGAGGGAGATAAAGTTTTGTGATAACTATAACTAATATGGTTCGACCCTACAAATAGACCCAACTTCATTCTAATCAGGCTGATCGGGTTAGTCCAATGTTCTACTAATGGAGATAGGGTTTTGCAGAATACAGGTAAACCGCGGCGGTGACCTTTCGCCTCATCCAGCCAGCTCGGCTGCTTGCTTTTTGACGGGTAGCAAAAGTTATCAAAGCATGGTTAGCTTTACAGTTCCTTAATTGTGTTAATATATTGGTCCTGTCGATCTATTCTGTGCTTACAACAGACTCTACTGAAATGGACAGAATATTTTAGAAAGAGTTTCTTAATTCTGATGAAAAGAGTAGTCATATTCAAGTGGTCAGTGGTAAAACTTCAGGTAGTTTTTTGATATAAAGCAAAACGTTAGTGACCCAAACATTTGATTATTTAAGAAAGTATCAAAGTGAATGCTTTCTCTGCCTATTCATTGGCTAACCACAAAATGGCGTCACTACGGTATGAATGAAAATGCTAGGGGAATGAAAAGTGAAAGAATGATATCCATATAAGGAGATGTCAGATCCCATATATGGGCTGAGAGACCTTATAAGGTCACAGATGGCGCCAGTGTCAAATGTGCGATTCCACGTTAAGCAAACTTCGTAGTATGGCGAACCCCTAGACACTATGTCAAAAACAAACAAACACAAAAACATCTTGTCAAAATTTTAGCCTGGGAAAGCAAGCTTGTAAATGAATAATGAATGCAAATGTACATAACAAATTGATAAATGCATCTTAACACATTGTATAAATAACTATATCATATAATCTGTACAATATAATCTCATACAAAACAGATGGAATATTTTAAAATTTGTCTTTCATATAAAATATATCGAGCGAATTTTAGATATAGGTCAATACATGTACAAAACAACAATATTTTTTCTGAAACCACACAGTGAAATTACTTATACTAGAAATAATTGCACCATTAAATTAGGAGGATTGCAGGATCTTAATTCATGAATAAGAGACCCAGGGGCCTTAATAGCTCACCTTGCATTTGATTTTCAATTTAAAACCTGCCGAGTATGTACCAGCTTATCAAAGGAGTACAAGAAATACAAGTTGGTAGAAGGACTTCACGTAAAACTGTTTGAGTTTGTAAGATACTAAGAACAGCAGGGCATTCTTCCTGCCTTGGTAATTTTGTAAATGGTCATGGCATGAGGATCTCCTCTTTTTCCATGTTATGGCACAAGGAGGTAGGAGTTGGTCTGCACCACAGGGCCAATCCTGGTAGCATGAATGTTTTCTACATAGGGTGAAGATAAAATCCTTCCATTTCTTTGGAAGGAGAAGGATTTTAAAATATTACCCCCGGTAAGTTCTATCTCCTCTATTTGCGGCACACCCTCCGTTTATAAAAAAGGCCCCTTTATCCAAATCCCTTTATTGGTTAAGAAGAATTTTGAAAATTTACCTTTCTTCAGCCTTTTTGGCTCTGCCACCTGGGGGGGGGGGGGCATACCCTCAGTTTATCCAAAATTGAATCTTTTTACTCTAAGGATGCTCCAGACCACATTTTGTTTAAATCTCTACATTTGTACAGAAGGAGATTTTGCCAATTTCCCCTACTTGGCCCGCCCTTCTGACCAAGGGGTGGGGAGGGGGTCACCCAACACAATTATACAAAATGAATGCCCCTGTGTTCAAAGATGCTCTAGAAATTTAATTAAAATCAATCTATTAGCTGAGAATAAGAAGATTGTTGAAGATTTAACCCCCCCCACACACACACACACACACACACACACACCTATTTGGCTCTGTAAATTATAATACCACGAAAAAAGTATGCCTACAGTATTCAATTTTAAAGGCGACTTGTTTACAGAATTCTACATTTGTACTATTTATGAATTTCTTCAAAAATAAAAAATAAAAATTCTTGTACTTCTTAAGATATGAAACATTACCATTTATCATGTGTTACATTTTGCTTTCAAGAGTGTTTTTACAGCCTCAATGCATAGCGTGTCAGGAACCATTTACAGTAAAACACTTCTTGTTAGATTGTGTCGACTTTAAGTCAACTCGAGAAAATTTCTATAAGAACCTTACATGTCTTCAATCTCTTTTTGAAAACATAACTGTCTCTTCAATTTTAGGCTATCTGAAAGCTGTTGGTCAATTTAATAAAATTGGATTCATCATAGCCACTTTCAATATTCAATAGACTTTTGTCTTTTAACCTTTAAGGGGTAATTTTGTTGTTTTTTTGGCATTTCCCCCCGCCCCCCCCCCCCCCCCCCGACCATTTGTTGCCCCTAATGACCTATCCTGTGTTGTTGGGCCGTTAAAGCATTTAATAATAATAATATTAACTGTATTTCCAAAGTGAGGTTATCATTTGATATATTTACTAACATAGCAATGAGTAAAATAATATTTCTGATTTATAGCAGCTGGATTTTTCTTCTCATCAAACAGCTTAAAGCTCTGTTAAATGTACAAAATGGCGGAATATGAAGACCCTACTTTATATAATGAAATTGAAAAGACACATGTAAGTACTTTATAACATGTGACCTATATTACAACTAATTTGTGTGTTGGTTTTTTTACATCTTTGACACTTTTAATTCCCTGAAATTTCATAATGAACAATTCCAACCTTTGAGTTGGAAGAGTTCAAATGTGTCTTCAGGGGTGAATGAGTTAAATATAATTATTTAGTTTTAGTCTGATGTATTCATTCATGTGAGTGTCTTTTTTTACAGTGTTGTTTGGCTTTAAACAATTTGTTATGAGCAATTGTCGATGGGCTGTAAAACAATACAGAACAAAAAGGCAAAATTGAACAAGCAACTCCTGTTTAAATGTCAGAAATCACTCGTCCGTGGCTGGAATGTAGTTACTGTACCACTGTCGTCCCTGACCTACAAACAGCTCTGGTTTGACCAGTTCGCCGTAGTAGTTGTAGATTGTTAGGGACTCACGTCGAGAAACAATGCTGATCTCAGCAAGGTGGTTGTCGCTGACCTGGTCACAGAACTCAAGGTTCAGGTAGTTAAGGTCTGTCGCATACACAGTCGACCGGTGCGGCAGGAAGATATCAGCATACTCCTGTTCAGAGAGATCAATTAACTTATTATTCTAAGCTTAGGGGTGAAAGAAAGGGAAATTACATTCCAAGTTTAGTAAGTACTAATCCATGCTTAGTAAGGGTTTTGCACAAATTTGAATATCCTGAGGGTGGAATTTCCCTCTTATATACCCACGAGCATGAAAGAGTATTTTTCTTTCATTCCAACCATCTGGACCGGTATTCATGAAACCGTTCTCATACTCATGCAGATTCTGTGCTCAAACCAATTTTCTTGTAACTCACATAAATTCTGTCAACAAAAAAGTTGATTGGAAATGTTGAAAAACATTATTCAACTTTAAGTCATTTCAATTGTTTTCAAAATCAAAATATTTTTGTATTAATTTTAGCCAGAATAAGGAATAAGGCTTGAGCACAAAGTTTATGTTTGAGCATGAGAACGGTTATATGAATACGGACCCAGAATTACCTCAGATACCCCAAGAGAGTGTCTGCAATTTCCACATCGGGGTATCGGAAAGTATCTGATTTCTATAGACATCACATGACTGTTGTGCTATTGTGACGTACAATGTAACGTACATGGGGGTGTAAGATAGAATTTTTTTGCTCCCCTTTCTTGCCCTGGATGGTTCTGTTGTACATACAGGAATAAGAAAAGTATGTTTATTAGCTCACCTGGCCCGAAGGGACCTCCGTCCGTCAACTTTTAATTTTGAACGACTTCTGAAGAAGAACTGGATGACCTAGGGCCATGAAATTTTGCCAGTAGGTACCTGGGATGGAGTGCTATAAAAGTTCCTCATTAAAATGACCTTGATCTACTTTCAAGGTCACGGGGTCAAATATTAAAAAAATGTAATATCCTAAGAACCATTTGGACTAGAGTCATGATACTTGGGTATGTTATGTAGACCAGCTGTGTGAATTGTTTTCTTTATTACAGTAATGAGGTCAAAGGTCAACTTTAAGTGCAAGTCGGGAGTCCAAGGTCAATGTGGGTTAAGAGCTTTAAAATTAAAATTTCAAACTTCAAACAACAATATCTTCAGAGCCGTTTAAGAAATGTTTAAATGTCTTGTGTTCTAGTTACCAAATTTGGTCTTAGGTTACCTATATGTCAGTTTCATGTAACAAAAGAAACAGGTGAGCAATACAGGCCCTCTGGGCCTCTTGTTATATGTATATAATAGGTCAGATGTCTGTGAATGCATGATTAATAATGTCACTGACCAATCAGAATGAAGTAATCTCATCAAATATGCATGGAATTTATTGTATTCATTTTCAACTTAACTGCAACTTCACAAAATCTTTTTAGATGATGTAAAGGCCAAGTATCACAAACAATGATTGACAAAGCAGAAAGGTAGTTTATTATCCTCAGAATTCATTGAACTCTTGAGGTTTTACCTCAGTGTTTCTTGACAAAGTATCGTGAAAATCAGACGATGATTCAGAATATGATTTGTCAGAAACATTGATTTCCCCTTTTGAGACCCACCCCTTCTGTCCCTAGTAGGGTCACTCACACCCTTCATTAGTCAAATTTACTTTGTCCTGAAATGCTCCATGCCAAGTTAGATCAATATTAATACAATTGCGACAACAAAATCATTTTCTATTGTTTACTTGGTGGGTTATCCACTTTCACAGCAGAATGTATAGCAATCAATCTAGAATTGAGTATTCTAAACAACAACAAAACAAGCCTATATATATAGCTAGCTAGTTTAATCATCCTTTTAACAGAGTCTTCATAACCGCAAATTTGTTAGTTCTCTTACACAAAATTTGGAGCACATGTATGTGTCGTATTGTATCATATTGGGTCATTCAGGCCAGGTCGGTTGACCTTTGACCTGCATCAAACTTATAGACCTTTGTCAATATAACTCACCTCATCACTGGAGGACCCCACATCAGCAGCAGCAGCTGCAGCCGACCTCTCGTGAAGTTTCAGTCGCAGCAATGCCTGACATCGTCGCCATTGTCTCAAATCTGTAGTACATAAACATTTGTTAAGTACAATACTTTCTTTGTTGATATATCCTGCCAGATATCAAAATCATTGAGAACATTAATCAAACAACGACTAACATTTAGAATATTACCTATACAGTAGATTTCACTTAATATCACTTCTCATTTGTCAGAGAAAAATATGATATTAACCAGAGCATGACATAAAGAGAAAACATGTTTTTCTGAACATTTCTGATGTTGAAAATAAATCATTGATTTTTACCTTCATTTACCAATGATTTTTTTGTGACCAAAATAAAGTGGTATTAAGCGAAATTGACATCAAAACAAGTGATAAGAAAAGATTTGAATTACATAGATTATATAGCAGGAAAACGGTGCGTCACGAAAACATGATAATAACAGAAAAGTGGCATTAAGCAATGTGATATTAAGTGAAAGGTACTGTATAAACAGTGTATCATCAAGTGAAGTTTCAAAAATTTTTGGACTTCGAGATACAGAAGAAGAAAGAGTAGACAAACGGACTCTGTGATTACTATAGTGCATCAACATCTGTGATGTAGGGCCCTAATACGCCACTCCAATTCCTAGACATACAATTCGTACAAACAAGACAATATGAAGATTACACAGGAGCAGGCACTAACTGTATAACTACTGGTCTTAAACCACCTTCCTATTATGTCTGCATTTGTGTATCAGTTGTATGTGCAGCAGCATCTTTTTTATATAGTGACATCTTACACACTGTAACACCCACCTCAGACCTCTATAATCAACTTGGGTGATGTGCGTTTTGTGAAGGTAGGAAGAGAACACTTTGCCCAAAAAATCTTGTGGTACATGTACGTACACCAGCTTTGGGGAATGAAGGCCAGATGTTGACGCAAATGGCTCCCTCAATCAGAGCTTGGCAAGGATATTTAATGGTGTCTTCAGTAATACCAAATATATTTCACGAGTGTGGCTAATATTTTGATATTTTTCACGAGCGCACAGCACCATTTTCTATTTATTGCATTTTTAAAGCATAAAACATGAACAATACGCCCAATGGGCCAGCATCACTCACCTGGTATAAATCTCACACTTGTAATCTTAAAAGTGGACTTAAATACAGCTACAGGCAGAATATCAGTGTTTAATTCATAAGAACCTATTAAAAGGTTTAAACATAGGACGCCTGTGACCTTGAATGTCGAACAAGGACATAAGGTTGAAAGTGGGTCAAGGGCATTCATTTGAACAAACTTGGTAGTCCTTCATCCCAGCATGCTACACAGGCCCAATATCAGTACCCTGGGCCTTTTGATTATTAAGAAGAGGTTGTTTGAAGATTTTAACATATTTGATCCCTGTGACCTTTAAAGTTGGTAAAGGTCATTCATTTGAACAAAATTGGTAGCCCTTTATCCCAGAATGCTACAGGCCCAATATTAGTACCCTGGGCCTTTGGGTTATTAAAAAGAGGTTGTTTGAAGATTTTAACATATTTGATCCCTGTGACCTTTAAAGTTGGTCAAGGTCATTCATTTGAACAAACTTGGTAGTCTTTCATCCCAGCATGCTACAGGTCCAATTTCAGTACCCAGGGCCTTTAGGTTATTGAGAAGAAGTCGTTTGAAGATTTTAATACATTTGACCCATGTGACCTTGAAAGTTGGTCAAGGTCATTCATTTGAACAAACTTGGTAGCCCTTCATCCCAGCATGCTACAGGCCCAATATCAGTACCCTTGGCCTTTTGGTTATTGAGAAGAAGTTGTTTAAAGTAAAATATTGACACCGGACGTACAGACGACGGACGGACGCCGCACCACAGCATAGGCTCACTTGGCCCTTCGGGCCAGGTGAGCTAAAACAAGAGGCCCAAGAGGGCCTGTATTGCTCACCTGAATATTTAAGCAGTCATGGAAAAATATTCTCATTAAATATTATATTGCACTAAAAATATTTCCCTCGCAAACTTTGTTGGCTCCATCTGTTGAAACTGCGAGCAAAATATTATTATAAGATTCTATGCTTTTTGATTCTTCTTCAGAAGTTGCTCGAAATATTTTTTCCTGCGACCTTGTAAGTAGGTCAATGTCATTTTCCTTCTCAAATTGGTTAGCTCTATTTCAAAAAGCTACCAGCCAAATCTAATGAATCCATTTCTTTAAGTTCTTAAGAACAAATCCTTTAAAATGTTGTTGTCATTTTCATTCGCAAACTTTGGTGAGCTCTATCCCAGGAAGTCACCAGCCAAATATTATAAATTTATGCCTTTTAATTCTTCATCAGAAGTAGTTTGAACCGTTTGACAAATTTGAATGCTGTGACCTTGAAAGTAGGTCAAGGTCCTTTTCATTCTCAAACTTTGTTGGGCTCTTTTCCAGGAAGTCACCAGCCAAATATTTAGGTTCTATAACTTTCAGTTACTCAGAAGAAGTCGTTTTAAGCATTAGACATATCTGACTCCTGTGATATTGAAAGTAGGTCAAGGTCATTTTCGTTTTCAAACTTTGTCAGACTCTTTCCCAGGAAATAAACCAGCCAACAATTAAGGTTCTATACCGTCGAGTTCTTCAGAAGAAATTGTTCTAAGCGTTAGACATATCTGACTCCTGTGACATTGAAAGTAGGTCAAGGTCATTTTCATTCTCAAACTTTATTGGACTTTTTCCCTGGAAGCTACAAGCCAAATATTAAGGTTCTATACCTTCCATTTCTTCAGAAGTCGTTTGAAGTGTTTGACATATCTGCCTCATGTGACCTTAAAATAGGTCAAGGTCATTTTCATTCTCAAACTTTGTTGGGCTCTTTCCCAGGAAGTCACCAGAAAATATTTAGGTTCTATAACTTTCAATTCTTCAGAAGTCGTTTTAAGAATTAGACATATCTGACTCCTGTGACCTTGAAAGAAGCTCAAACTTTGTCGGGCTCTATCCCTGGAAGCCATCAATCAAATTTAAAGATTCTATACCTTCCATTTCTTCAGAAGAAGTCGTTTGAAGTGTTTGACATATTTGACCTATATGACCTTTAAAGTAGGTCAAGGTCATTTTTATACGCAAACTTTGTTTGGCTTTTACCAAGGAAGCTGCCAGGTAATTCTCATATCTCTAGACTTTTCTGTATTTCAGAAGATAAGTTGTGAAAATTTGACATATTTCACCCCTGTGACCTTGAAAGTAGGTCAAAGCCATTTTTATTCGCAAACTTTGTTCGGCTTATTCCATGGAAGCTACCTACCGATTGTCATGTCTCTAAACCTTTCGGTATTTCAGAAGTTGTTTGAAAGTTTTTACATATTTGACCCCTGTGACCTTGAAAGTAGGTCAAATTCTGGGGTTTTTCGCAAACTTTGTTCGGGCAGGCGAGCTAAAAATGTAATGAGTTAAAAAATGGCGGGATCAGAAGCGTAACAATTAGCGCCACATTCTAATGACGTCACACTTGACAAGAAGGCTGCGCACCATTTTGAATGGGATACTGAACGTAATTCCGACGTTTTCTGCTATTTTTTCTGGTATGATTGCTTATTAAAATGTTATTAATTGTATATTTATGTAAATACTTAAGTGTGTGTACCAAACATTTACTATAACAACCACTTATTCTACCCTCGCTTCATTTAAATCTGAACAAAGAAATTGATGCCTTTGAATGCAGCGAATAGAAGATACTGTTATGATATGTCAATACCAAATATCACTTTTGATATTTGTCACAGTGTGAAAGATATCAGTTTTATCAAGATGATAGAATCCGATATCACACTGGCAAAAATGTAATAAAATAAAGTCCTGCACGCTGGGACATGTTTGATTTGTACACTGCTTGTGATTATTATAAAGATTTTAAGAAGTGTCTATTTATGTATATTAAGAGTGCCAACACATCAAAATTTCACTGGTATAATACCCGATATAAGAGGAAGGAAGGGCTCTGAGGTGATAGTCTTCAGACCGGCTAAATCTGCCCTCTGTAATCGCTGGCAATTCTTCAGCAGGGCTGATATACTCCTGTTGGACACTCCTGTAGAGACAACAGAGAGGAACTAAAACACAGCTGATACTTCATATACAAATCAAATGTTCTAATAAACATCTTGTAATTTAATAAAGTAAGGTAATACAGCCAACGTCAGGTGTATAGGTTTGTGGGTTAATCAGTGGGGCGCTTCGCTTTGAGTACATATACCAAAAGGTATGCAGGGAGATTACAGAACATAGGCACATATAAAGAAAATGTCTATAGTCAGAACATATTCAAGCGTCACCAAATGAACTTTAAAACCCACTTATTGGTGACGCTTCAGTATGTTGCGATAATATCCATTTTACTTTATTTGTAATTTAACCCTTTCACCCCTATGTAACTTTAGTCAACTCTACCATTCATTGATCTGGCTGAGTCAAATTTGGTCCACAGTGGTGAAAGGGTTAACAACTATTAATTTGCCATTTTCAAAAGCTTTACTTTGCTTTCAATAACAAAAGAGACAGGACCTTGGCAATAAATTACTATATAAGGATCTTTAAGCTACGAGATGGCATTCAAACAATGTGAAAATAAATTCTTAATGTCTGTTAAGACTAAAAGAATATAACATAATTACAAAGCATCTGATGTTTCAAATGTAGCAACATGAATGTTATTTTTTGTCATTTTTGCCCATAATCATTACAGCTGTAAATCGTATCGGAGAACCAGTATACCTAGATTCCAGCTGAAATCGACATGCTCCAGGGTACGGATGTTCTCCACCAGGTTCACAACAGCATCATCACTGATCCCATCAATGCTGGACATATTCAGGCTGGTCAGGTAGCTGAAGTTACTGGCGATCAGTGAAAGGGTGTTGTCGTTGGCTGCGAGCTGTCTAATGCTGAGTTTGCGTAAGGTGTCGGAACATTTCCCAAACAGCTGATCTAGGCCTACACTACTGGTGTCATCACACCACGACAGGTCTAACTCCTTCATCTACAGAAAACAACCAATCACAAATCAGGTTACATATCAACCATACACATTCAACAACAAATCAAAAGTAAGGTTGCATTAATGAAAATCATTTATTTACGGGAACAACCAATCACAAATCAGTTTACATTTATTTATATTGATTATAATATACACATACAACAACCAATCAAAATTAATGTTGCATTAATGAAAATCACTCATTTACAGGCAACAACCAATAACATTTGCTCAGGGGTTTTTTATATTATCTATTGCCTACAACCAATCAGTATAAACATTTACATAAATGTGAAACACAAATGGCTCCAATCAAAAAGATACAATGCATTTCCAAACCTCTATCAGAACTACTAAACAAAATACATTGTAATAACTAATAAGCAAATAGCTTGAATTTGAAACTCTGTCTATATACAGAATAGTCATATATAATCCTAATCTGCCAGAAAGAAACAGCTAATTTCAATCACAAATCAGGATAATATCACTATTACTGATAAGCCAATCGCAAAGGAAGCGTGTCACAGACTACATCATAGCTGTCAACCCTCCATCATTAGGAGGGAGACTCCCTCATTCTGACCAAAATATACCAATCTCCCTCGAAACTCCCTCATTCAAGTCGAAAACTCACACTAACTCAAAATTTACATCCTGTGATCAAATATTATCGTACATGTAGTTACTGCAGGGTGTGTGTAATGATCATAACAGGTGTACATGTTTCTGAATCAAGTTGATAAATTGAGCAAAGCAGTTTCAGTCTTGTTTCATGCACTTTTCTCCCTCATTGGAAATGTGGAATCAGAGAGATCTCGAGGTCCCTCATTGGAGGTTTCAGAGGTTCACACCTATGCCCATTTAAATAGTTTACTTAAGGGTTGAAACTCACTAAAATCACCATCGTTGTTTGTACTAGGATCAGCTGATATTTTACATGGAAATTCTGATGTCAAAAGTTGCAGGGAAGTGAAAAGAGAAGAAAATATTTTAACATTTTTTTTTGCGACAAACAAGGTATTGCTGAGTAGTACCCATTCTCTTGATCAGTGCTGAATGGGAGTGATAATTATAACCCCTAATTTTGGTAATGTGTTATTTATGTAGTGAATAATCTAATACTCTATTTATAGTAACACTGGGTACAATTATGTACTTACCTTGTCACGTACAAAAACTATAATTATGTACTTACCTTGTCAGGTACAAATAGCTGTATAAGTATGTACTTACCTTGTCAGGTACAAATACCTGTATAATTATGTACTTACCTTGTCACGTACAAATAGCTGTATAATTGTACTTACCTTGTCCATCTTGTTTCTAGCCATTATAACCAGAGTGTGGTCCGTGATGCGACACTCGGCCAGGTTCAGACACTCAAGACAGCCATTGGTGATAAAAGGAATCATGGCAAAGTCTTGTATGAACGTCACACCTTAACAAAACAAAATATAAACAAGAACTGTCATCTGGAGGATAACTTATACCCCCCACAGATAGTTTATACATCAATTAGTGACCTTGACCTTGGAGCTTCCGGAAAAGTTATTTTGCAAAAAGGACTGGAACTCACTTAAAAAGTGTTAACTCACTTAAAAAGGGTTGAAATGCCAGTGCACAACTACATAATTTACTGATCATTCAAGTAAAGTTTCAATACAATCTGCCTGTTAGTTAAGATGGAGTTTTCCGGACGAACAGACAGACAGGGTGATTCCAGAAGTAAGGTGAACGTGGCGGGGGTTATAAATTACAGCATGTGATATTTTTATTCAATTTTTAGCTCACCTGGCCTTTAGCTCACTTGGCCCTATTCCATGCCGCAGCGTCCGGCAATTTTTTCCTTTAAAACGCTACTGGTCCTGAACAGATCAGAGGATTTTGACCAAATTTGGTCTGGAGCATCATTGGCCAAAGGGTTCTCAGTTTGGTATAAACGGAGTGTATGGTCCAACTGGGGGCAGAGGGGAGGGGCAAAATAGGGGGAAAATAGGTAAATCTTTAAAAATCTCAACCAATAGAAGGATTTTGACCAAATTTGTCCTAGATCATCTTTGGACAAAGGAGACTCAATTTTGTATAAACGGAGGGTTAGCCTCTCTGGGGGTGGAGGGGCGGGCCCAATAGGGGAATTAAAGTAAAAAAAAATCTCCTACTACACAAGTGAAGGGATTTAAACCAAATGCAGTCTGAAGCATGATTAGGGACAAAAGAGTCAGTTTTGTATCAACTGAGGTTGTGTGGGACCCCTTCTTTGGGGCAGATGGGTGGGGCCCATTAGAGGAAATAAAGGAAAACATCACAGATCCTTCTCCTTTTGTACCGATGAAGGGATTTTGACCAAATTTGGTCTGGAGCATCATTGGCCAAAGGGTTCTTAGTTTTGTATAAACAGAGGGTATGGCCCCCCCTAGGGGCAGGGGGAGGGGCCAAATAGGGACAAAAGAATTAGTTTTGTATCAACTGAGGTTGTGTGGGACCCCTTCTTTGGGGCAGATGGGTGGGGCCCATTAGAGGAAATAGAGGAAAACATCAAAGATCCTTCTCCTTCTGTACCGTTGAAGGGATTTTAACCAAACCTTTTCAAGAGAATCTTTGGGCAAAGGGAATTTAATGTTTATAAATGGAAAATGTGTTAAGTTGTCATCTAACTGTTAATAAACGCAAACGGAACCCGATTACTTCTTAACACAAATCGCAATATAAATAAAGCGAGTTTGTACCTACCTTGTAATGTGATCGTCTGGATCTGTTTACAGTTGGTTGCCAGGGTAACCAGGGACTGGGATGTCAAACTCTCACAGTCACTTAGCGAGATGTAGGTAATATTTGGCCACAGGGGAGCTAACTCTTCCAGCATTGAACTTTTTAAATTATCCTTCCAAGAGATTTTGATTTTTTGAAGGTTTTTATTTTCTGTTGAGAACATTTTCAAACATTTAAGTCCATTGTATTTGTAAGTGTTTTCAAATTCAATTTTTTTGAAATAAATGGATAACAGATCTGGTTTATAGAACTGAAAATTCACATGCGGTTCAGTTCTATTTTCAATCTCACCATTTTCACTATTTTTATGGCTGTTTGTGGATTTTGGCTCATGATCTGGAGGATTTGCTGGTGAGTGGCAATATTCTCCAGATTCATCTAAATATCCACTTGTATTTTGAGATTGACTAACTTCACTGTTTTCATCTGCCTCACTAAAATGCTCTAGTTCACCTTGATCATCCAAACTCTTGCATCCTCTATTGGGTTTATCTGATAAACAAGCTTTCGGAACATCCTGATCATTCAAATCACTAGAACTATTTGTCATCACTGTGGCTTTTTCTGTAGAGGCTGAATCACTGACATTGAGAACATCACCAGTCTCACTCTGTTCTTGTAAATCAAAGAAAGCTCCTGGCTCAAACGGGTTTCTGCCACACACTTCCTCTGTTTGACAATGACGCTGTAACACGGAAGGATTGGATTTTATATCACATTCCCCAGATCCTGACAACGAAGATTTATCACGGTTTGAGTATTGCACATCAGCACAAGCACCAGAGTCTGAAGTTGTAAGCTCTGAACATGTGTCTTGTTTGACACATGACATAACTAGTGGTACACCAGTCTCATCTGAAATCATGACGTCATCGCATTTGGTTTTGTTGGGTTCCACCTGTTGGGGGACAGCTTCATCAAATGTCATACCATCTCCATGTGATGACGTCCTAAACACAACTCCTTCATTCCGTGTACATGTAGCACCTTCAAACACCGACAAATTGTCATCTGAGTAAGGAAGCACACTTTCTTCTCCTGAAGCTGGAATGGTTTCAGAAATTGGCACTGATTTCACATTTTCATTAACCGAGTATGTTATCCCAGTGTCATCATCAATCAAGTTCATCTCAACTCTTTCCTCTGTACCATTTTCCAAGTCTGAAGGAGACCCTGGTATCGTACTCGGGGGTACAGCTTTACATTTTGATTCTAGGATGACACTTTGTGTCAACTCTTGAGGATTTCCAGAGTCAGCAAAACAAGATAAATCACTGCTCAGAATGTTTTGTGAAAACCCATTGATATGAGAGATTTGCGAAATTTCACTTGTTTCAGAATTTAGGGAAATTCCACTGAATTGAGTATTTTTTGAACTTTCACTGGTTTGAGAGTTTTGTGAATGTTTATTAGGTTTAGAAGTGTAATATGAAAATCTGCTTACTGCAGACATCTTAGCATTGTTTCTTTTGCCATTTAATGATTCAGTACATTTGGCAATGTTTGATTTCAACTTTGAGCATACTTCACAACAACTAGTTTTATTGTCAGTTGATAGTTTGGTATCAGGAGTATTGTGACTACAATTGTCCACGGTCCAACTATAGGAATCATCACTCACATGCACTGTTACATCAGATGTCAAGTCATCCACATCAGATTCACCAATCAAATGAATCATTTCATCAGACGTCTGACCCTCAGCATCAGTTCCACCAATCAAATGAATCGTTTCATCAGACGTCTGACCCTCAGCATCAGTTCCACCTATCAAATGTACTTTTTCATCAGAAGTCTGACCTTTGGCACTAGATCCACCAATCAAACCTACTGTCACATCAGATGCTAGAGCCTTCACACAATTTCCACCAATTAAGTGTCCCATTACACTGTCTACATGTCCATTTGTTTCAATCTCTGACAATATTTCGTCACTTTGCACACTTCCCCCGGTATCACTGTCCTCGCCCTCCTCCATTGTAGAGTCCACAGAACCGTCAGACTCACTGGCCTCCTCAAGGATGTTCAGAAAACTCTTCTCTGGTAACCTGTTGTCACCAGATTCAGCTTTCACTCCATTTATGTTCACCGAGGGAAACCACTCACTAACATTAACACCAGCTCCAATGTCAGAACTCTGAAGATGATGACCAGCTTCTGGATCATCCTCATATTTAAATGCTTTGTCATTGTTTTGTAAATCACGAGGCTGTGATGGTGTTTTCATCTTGCCACTGATCTCTGAGCATGTGTTCTTTGATAAGAGAAAGACTTCCGCCTCTGGATCAGTGTTGGTAGACGAAAGTGAGGCTGTGACCCCTGGATGACCTTTACTAGATGACGGTGAGGCTCTGACCTCCAGCTGAGGGTCACTGGATGTTAATGAGACTCTATCAGTGGTTTCATTGAAAGGGATATCAACATAGTTACCCTTCCGTGATCTCTCTCTCCTCAACATGCCCAACTTGAGCTGGTTCAGCGTGTTCTTTAACTCCAGCAAAGATTGCTTAAGTGGACCATCCAGGTCACTGTCTGGGTCAGAGAGGGTGAGATGGACAATAGCGGGACGACCATATCCCGACAGATAAAGCAAGGCCAAGGTGTCTGCCTGTGGAAAAATACAAAAACATGTTACCAAACAATACTAATGAATCACTTACAATGAAAACTCAAAATTCAAATTCAAATTTATTTTATTCCTTTAAATGTTTTATATATTTCCAAGACATTCTTCTGTCCTTTTTCAGAAATCCATAACCTTAAGAACACTAATGTCAATCTTTAAGGTACATGTACTTTTAAAATGACTAATGACTAGAAAATGTGATGCTCCCGACCACAGGTATTCAACAAGAAACCCTTTTATATCCTCTACTCATTGGAAAATACATATCACACATATAGAGGATCTGTCATAAGTTTCCCTTCATATTAGATTTATGATACAAGTTTTGGATTTTCATGTTTGTGAGCGAGCAAATATGAAAAGTCTAAAACAAGTATCATAAATCTAATATGAAGGGAAACGAATGACAGATTCTTTTTATCATTTAATACAAAGTAAACTGTATAGTTGTGATCTGAAATGAATATTTTGCGTTTGGCCGCCTCTGAAAGGATGAAAATTGTGTCCGCTTCACAATGACATGACGTCACATTGATAGTTTCTATTCCATTGTGATGTCATTTCCAGAGTGATATTACATATTGTATGTGATGGCTTCATGACACTGCATAACACAGTATTCATAAGATAAAATATAAGTAAGCTGAAGTATATCAGAGTATGATTTTTCCAGTTGTGTTCAGTAGAATTTAAATTTCTGTGCAGTGAACCAGTCGGCTCTGGTGTATTTACCGCTGTCCACGAGATATTGACGTGTTTGAGGGTTGGTCCGGTCAGTGTGGCCAGATGTCTGACCGCTGTACTGGTCAGTGTCGTACAGGAGATGTCCACACTAATCAGGGCACAATCATAGCGGTCCTGACTCATCTGTAACTCAAATCATACATTATATATATTTCTACACGTTTTGTTTGGTCCCTTTGTGGGCGCCAATGTAATAGTATTATAGAGGTAATTATTTTTCAATGCTTCTGCTTTGAGTCGAACCCGGGACATTTGGTTTTCTAGTCTTACGCTCTACCAAATGAGCTAAAGAGAAATGCTCCCTAGCAGAGTCGGTAGGAAGTGGCATGTTTTTTACCAGGGTGACATATAGACTGTTAGTACATCAAGGTAAATGAAAGTTTTTAATCGGAAAATATCTAGTTATTTTTATCATTCTGTAAATGAAGAACAAACATAACCTTAACCCTAGCCTTTCACCACTGTAGACCATAATGGACTCATCCAGATCAATACATGGTAGAGTCTACTAAAGTTGCATAAGGGGTGAAAGGGTTAACATCAATTCAAATGCCAGAATTATACACAGGTTCAATACAATAAATATAGTTATGGTCCTATAACACACATTGCTATTGATGACAAACTTACATAAAGCCCATAGGGCAAAAGGGTTAAAGGAATAATGAAACTTTAATCTCTATGAGTAAGTACCTGTCCAAAAGTCTCCCTTTGAAGTTGTAGATTCTCATTGAGGAGGAAAACAGTATCTGTCAGTTTGGAGCAACTTGCCAGGTTAAGGTGTTGTAGGGTCTTCATGTACAACAGAATACTCTGTATACACAGATATAAAATGTAAATGAGAATTACAATGTAATGACTGTAGCTCAAATCATCATTTATAATAGATAAGCATCTTATTTTAAACACATTTAAGAGTGATAATTTGGAGGACATAGTTAAATGCTGAACCTTTCAAAGTGTACAAAAGAATCACACATACTGGTAAAGCTCATGTTATCAAATCTAAGATATCAGATAATAATAATTAAAGGTTAAGGGAGATAACTCTACCACAAATCCACAAGTATAAGGTGTAAGGTACTGTAGCATATACAGGGGTGGAATTAGCCGCTGGTCCACTAACAAGTCGGTTTTCAACAAGCTATCCCGCCGGGGCCATTAGATATTTTGTAAATTTATCTAAAATTTCAGCAGTTTTTACAAGCTTTATTTTAAGCCCAGAATGTACCAGAGCTTCTAAATTTCAAAATTGCTAGTAGAGGGGTCACAATCAGAAGAGTACCAAATACGTTTGGCACTGGCCCGGGCCTGCAGCCCTCGTTATCTGGACCAGTGCACTTCAAAAAGGACCAGTGAAGTTTTACTTAAACATGTCCTTTAATTTGGACCAGTTACCAATTTTTTTTAATTACACAGTGTAAGTACCTTTACCATTTAATTTATCATCTTGTGATTTCTTATAAAGTTGGCTTTGATATATAATTAATGAATCATGATATATAATTAATGTAAATGCAAGTGCGTACTTTCGGTTTCGATTTCTAGAATTCCCAGACTGGTATGTTTTCGTATTTCTCAGAATTTAGAATAAGTAATGGATTGTACATCTGTCTGATATCTATATATATAGTCACATTTCGAGAATGTAAACATTTTATATACTTTGATTTGTCCATCATAAAATTAGTAAGGCAAATAGTTAATTGTATGTTATATTTGTTTATAGCTTTTCCCCAGTTCAACACGTCACTTCGATGTCGCTGTCACTGTCAAACAAGTTGAGTAACAATACGAGGAAAAGTCAAGGTGTGTTCTGGTTATCTGTCTGCTCAGCTGTATGCAAGTCCCTGGTTCAGTCTGGGGCAGAATACTACCACTGCTGATAAATGCTCCTATTACACATGAACAGTTGATACTTGCCTGTACTACAGTGTTGTTCACCGTCAGACAGTTCTCTAGACTCAGGGATGTGATCCCTGGTCGCAGGAACGACGTTATATGGAACACCTCGGGCTGGGAAAACTGGTCACATTCGGACAGGTCAAGTTTAGTGACCAGGGGACACCTGAAATTGTAACATGAATAGTGAGGTATTGTGTCCTTACCAATGTGTGCTTTGCCTTCAGTATATCTTTACTAGTCTGATTTTGTTTTCATTAGTCCTTGGTCTGTCATATCTGATTATGATTTTTGTCGTCACAATTTTATCAAATTATTAAGTCCTTCAGGACATCTTCATTTCTAAGTTTCATGTTGTTAAAAACCTGTTTATTTGATACATTCTATCATACAATTTTTGGACATGGGTATAGAGCCCCATTTTAACCCTTTCACCACTAAAATGGACTTATCCATATGCCCATTACTTATGGTAGAGTTGATTAAAGTTACATAGGGGTGAAAGGGTTAAACGTCCTATTAACAGCTAAGGTCATTTAAGGATGTTAAAGTGTATGTACAGAATGTATATATATGTTAGTAATCAGGGGTGACAATTTCTATTTACGCATCATATCTGTGAATGCATTAAAACTTACATAAACTTATATAAATTATGAAACAAGTTTTTACAACTTATAAATCAATCACTCTTTGTTAGCCCGGATGTAAGCACACAGGGAATCTGAATGTGGGAGGAAACCGGATGTGGTTGGGCAGGTGTTCACCCCCTACCTTATCACATCTGATCAGGGAATCCAACCCTGGCCGCCTTGGTGAAAGCAAGGCAAGTGCACTATCCACTGCGCCACTCAACCACCCGATGCATAACTTGTTCATAAATTTATATGGAAATTGAGAATTCAAATCATACTTACGTTTCAAGAACATTCTTCAAGCCTGTAAATGATACATATTTACATTTCTTGAGTTTCAACTCCCGTAAATGTGTCGATGCCAACGCAGATAAGATACTATTTGTCACTTTGGCGGGATGTCTGTCGACAAGACGTCGGAGCAGACCACATGACACAGCTGTGTAGCGTCCTGTTTGGAGCTGCTTGAGCATCATCTGTGCTGCTTCTCTGTCGCCATCACCCGAAAGGTCAAGTAATGTCTGTATGCAGATCAACTTGGCCGTGAACTTCAATGGAACAACGTTGGCCATTTTGGTTGTTTGTGGTCAATGTACAGGTTGGTTGATCATGTCTGATAAATAATTTTCAAATGGCTGAAGGGACGTATACTCGGGTACAAACTCATCGTGTTGTTTTCCTCAGGTTTCTGGGATATATATGGTCCTGCTTTAACATAGAAGAAATATAAATTGATGATTTTCGTTTTTCATGGTGTTTACACCCATTTCCAGCAGAATTACTAAAATAATAATGAAACATGTACCGGTTATTAAACTTATTTTGTTGATGCACAAATCCAGAACACTGATTTAACTGAACCATGTAGCCATTTCATCAGTGGCCCTAGCAGGTCAGAAGAGAGGTAAAGGTGTCTATACAACTCTGTTTAACATCAGATATACACATATTTGGCTTCATAAACCAGTATTCTGTGTCAAAAAGTAATTAAGTCTATTTGGTTTGTGTTATATTCCGTCTTTTCGTATTGCAGAGTTATTGCAGAGCAGGTATTGATTGTTACGTCATAAGTTTGTGTGAGAAAATTACGTCGTTTTCTCAAAAATGTATGACATTACTTTCACAAACAAATGACGTAACAATCAATACCTGCTTACAAGAGCAGATAACTCTGCAATACGAAAAGATGGAATATAAGTCCTTTTAACAGCTATTGTCATTTAAGGACGTGCCAGGTTTTGGTGGTGGACGAAAGCCGTAGTTCCCCGACACTGCCCCACGTATGTCTCGAACCCTGGACCCAGTGGTGGAGGGCTAAAAAAGTGGTAGCAGAATGTCAGACGCCTTAACCACTTGGCACCCACGGCCCACAATTAAGTCTTAGCTCAGCATAGCCATTTTCTTTTCAATTCATTAAAGATTAATCAGTATTAAACAAGTCAAAGGAATGAAAACAGCATGATGTCTGATGTTTTCCAAAACATGGATGGAGGGGGATGGTGCCTAATTAACAAAAAAACTCTATTTGAGGGGGGGGAGGGATGGTGCCCAAAAACCATATGTATATAAATATAAATTGGAGAAATTGGGCATCAGGATAATTAAGGGAGATATGATGGAACTGTTCAAAATAGTAAGTCAAATATATAATAAAGAATGTTTTAATGCTGTCATATATATACTATGGAAAGATGTCACTGATTGTCACAGTGGCAGAAGGGCACATCAAAAAAGTATTCCCCAAGCGATGAATAAATATGCTCAGAAAAAAACTGTTTTTCAATCAGAACAGTGACATTACTTGGAAAGAAATGCCAGAACATGTCAAATCAGCATTACATGCTATTTTTTTGAAAAAAGGTATAGACAATCACTGGAAAAATCAAGAACTTATCTCCAATTTACATTTACAGCGATACTGCAAAGGGCCGCGGACAGCATCAACTTGAGAGATTTACACAACTTGTCTTCAGCGGGTGCTTCATAAGATAGTATTCTATGTAAAGGAGTTATTATGTCTTTTCTGTGTGTAGCCATTTAATTTTCCTTTCCCTACCCTACGTCACATACGAAGTTGCAATTAATCTGATAAGTATTTTGATGATCAATATGGATAAAAGAACACGCAAGCAAAGCAGATGGTTTGTCCGGTATAGCCAGGTATTCTGATTAAACAGGCTTACCCCAATTATGCAGAAACCGACCGGTAATTAGATGTTTTATATCGATACCAACCTCACAGTTATAGTTGCTTTCTTGAGAATATATATCGTATCAACTCCGACAGTAAACGCAGATCTCCAGCGAGACATGTGGTCGGGCACACGATCTCAGAAGGAATGCGTTACGTACCGTGCGCATGTACCACTAGTACTGTGTTTGTGAGTAACATCTACAAATATACTAACCCTATCATTGGGACACAATGCGATATGCTAATTGCCATTTATAATTAGCTTCTTTATTCGGTGAATAAGTACATTGGATTTGCTTGAATGATCAAATATAATTTCTCCTCTTTCTCATTCCAACTTTCTAAGGCCGAGACACTTTTACAGTTTTTTTCGTCTACAACAAACGCTTACCATGTGCTTAGTCTCGCAAATCATAATTTTCTACTTAAAATAATCTCCATTACAACGCATAAAGTCTTACATGTTTCTGTGATTTACCTGTAGTTATCGATGTGACAGGTGAAAACATTCCTTGAGTTATCCGCCATGATGTTTATACAGTTATGTGTATATTACGGAACGCATTCCGTTATGAACTTCCGAAACGACACTCTTTCATCAGAGATTGCCAACACAGGGACCTGATTTTTTTACCAGCTATATTTGGACCTAAACTATTGTGTTCGCGGTAATTTTACATGTTTTGGGGGTATAAATGTAGATCGACTTTCGGTAAAAATTACATCACCAATGATCATACTAGACTATAGTACGACCACGGAGTTAGANGGGGGGGGGGGGGGGGGGGGGGGTGGAAATCAAAATGTTAGAGAAGGATACTATATTTTCCTTTCATACTGTTTTGGGCGAATATGTTATATGTTAGCCTTCCAAATCGTCCTGTGTGGGTGTGTTCATGTTAACCATAAAAGCGCGTGCACGCCGTGTGTACACCCCTTCCAAAAGCTAGGCTAAGTAAGGCGTTGTTCAAACTGTTAAGGAAAACAATTTGATGGATATTCTTTGCGTGTTTTTGTTTTAATATGACACAAAGACGAACCAGACAACGGTGAAATGACGGTGAAATGAATAGGGCCATCGGAATGCTTCAAGCTAGCATGTCTTAACGTCAAGGTTGCAGCAGACCTTGGGGTGTCTCAAAGTGTGGTGGCAAGAATGTGGAAGCGTTTCCAAACTAACGGAAACCTTCCATGCTGGAGGTCGTTCTGGGCTAAAACGCAGCGCCAAGACCGATTTAAAAAAAATACGATGTAGCAAATTACAGAGGTAAAATATAGGAAGAAATTATGTCAGAAAGGCAGTTGATATCAGCTAACACTCAGTCGTGGTCCACAGGTCTAGAAAACACGTTTGTTTCCGGTAATGGTTTAAACGCTAGTACGATTGATCATATATTGCTAAACGGCTCGAAAATCGATTTAGTCGATTTTTGCCGCAATTGCGATGATCATTTTCTCAATGTGTCGGATCATGTTCCTGTACAAATCGGTTTGTGTAAATTTCCAGAACTGTATAGCCAAAGCACCCCGTTACGTACTGTCAATTGGAAAGCGGCAACAGCGGCACATATTCAAAAATATCAGGCAGCTGTTGCATGAAGCCACCCTACGTTCATATGACATCGGTAACGGTATAGTGAGTGAGGCTGATAGTTGTATCAAAAACATCGTTAAATGTATGAAAACTGCGGCTGATTCTATACTTCCCCATAAAGGATACAAACACTACCTTAAACCATAATGGAACAGTGGGAATGTGAAAGCGTTGCATAAGGACATGAGGCATACGAGGTCAATTTGGGTATCTGAAGGTCGTCCTAGAGGACAGTCTTTCGAGTCCTATACAAAATATAAACACATCAAGAGGTTGTTTACAGAGCTAGGTCCGAATATGAGCAAGAGCAACTTCGAAAACTTGGTATATATGCCGAAATAGACACGGGCACATTTTATAAAGCTGTGAGGGCTAGGCGTGGGAATAGGGCGGGTAACGGTTCATCGGAACTCCGCGTTCATGGTGCTATAGTTCGCGATCCGGACCTGGTGCGAGACGCATGGAGGTATCATTATAGCCGGCTGGTAAGCCCACTAAGAACACTTCGATAATACCTTCAAAAGCTATATAACCGATCGTGTATGCGAACTAGAAACAGAAAGTTTTAATAACAATTTTTAAGAAAGGCGAAAGGAGCTCTGTAAGTAATTACAGACCCATATCTATTCTTCCAATTTTATCCAAACTCTTAGAAAAACATGTGCAGACTACCTTTTATAAGTTTTTAAACCAACATAATCTAATCATTGAGAATCAATCAGGATTTCGAAATATGCATTCATGTCAAACTGCTCTTACTGCACTTACAAATAGATGGTATGATGAATTGGACAAGGGAAACCTCATCGGGGTAATGTATATTGATTTTCGTAAGGCTTTTGACCTTGTTGACCATAAGATACTACTCCAGAAAATGCAAGTATATGGATGCTCTGAAAATTCCATTATGTTTTTTTTACCTCATACCTTTCAAACAGATTTCAGAAAGTATCTTTCAAAAGTTCTTTAAGTGATGCCTGTGAAATTACAACTGGTGTACCTCAAGGTTCCATAATTGGGCCTTTGATGTTTTTATTATATGTCAATGATCTGCCACTCTGCTGAAAACATTGTGAACTTTTTATGTATGCAGATGATACTTCAATGCAAAAAGCAGACACACATTTGGATGTTATCGAATCATGTCTACAAACGGATTTTAATCATGTAAAGAAATGGTGTGATGTCAACAAAATGGTCATAAATACTGATAAAACCAAAGTAATGTTAATTGGAAGTAAATATTATAGCTGAAAATTCAAACTTGGAAGTTGTACAAAATGAAAAACTGTTAGGCGTTCGTATTGATGACACCCTAACTTGGGAAAAACATGTACAAGACGTCCTAAAGAAACTTAATTATAAAATTTATCAGCTATGTAGAATAAAGAAATTCTTACCAGTATCGGCAAGAATCACTTTCCACAACTGTTTTATACTACCATATATTGACTTTTGCTCGAACGTTTGGGGACATTGCTCTCAAAAACTGGTACACAAACTTGAAAGAATTCAGAAACGAGCACTGCGGATTATACTAGATGCCGACTATACTGTTCCCGGTGCACAGCTGTTTGTAAAACTAAAATAGCTACCTTTTACGTACAGAGTTGAACATAATGAATGTGTTCTGATGTTTAAAGTAATAAACAAGCTATGTCCAAATTACCTAGACTGCAATACTCTTGTGAGCAATGTCCATACTATTCAAACCAGGTCAGCTGCGGCAGGTAGATATGTTGTACCCAAACACAAAACGGAAAAATTCAAAAGCTCTTTTAAATATAATGGACCGACACTTTGGAACAATTTGCCAACCACTGTCTCTAAATGCCAATCACTAAACAGTTTTAAGTTCGAGTGCAAAAAACATCTCAATGTAATCTATAAAGACAAGTGTAAAGAAAATTAAAAATCTGCACCCCTTTTCCCTCCTGAAATATCTATCTGCTGTTGTACCTGGAATATGACACACGTGTATCTAAATGAAGTTTTAGAATTTAATCTTAATTACTATTCCTAATGCCCTAACAACACTTTGGTATTAACTCACGCTACATTAGCGTATATTCTGTATTTGTTTACCCTTTGTCACAATGACATGTATGTATATTAGACGCATTATGCGTTTCTTAAATCTTCTAAAATGCAGCATGAGAATGTATGCACTGCATGATATTTAGCCAACTTTTTATTTTCCAATACACGTGTGACATATTTTATTGTAAGCCTGTGTGATATCACATACCAATATATCTGTGATATGTATTACGTAGTTTTGTTATTGGATACAGGATGCAAGAGTGTGTTGGGTTTTTTTGTTTTTTTTTGTTTTTGGTTTTAAAGATAATACAATGTTTTATTACCTGTGATATGTTACTTAATTTCTTATGTATGTACGTGTATGTCATATCCATGTTGTAAATATTGTACATTTTATGTCGACCACATGTGAGACGAGTCATTGACTCAATGTGTTATCGAATTTAAATAAAGTCTATTATTATTATTATTATAATAATAACTATAAAGTATCTTTTTATTATTCTTATTATTATTTATTATTATTATTATTATTATTATTATAATAACTGCGACTCAATATGTGAAGAACCTGTAACGCTTATTGAATTGAAGCTTTGGAGGAACTCAAGATGGCGTCGTTATCGACACACGGTACATTTAGTGTGTCGTGATCAGTGATTAAATATCGTGTGTTATCCTTCTATGGACAAACTATCAGAAATGGAATATTAAGACGGATTCGAGCAGGAAAGGAAGGGGTTACAAAAGGTGAAAATTGTGATGGGATTGTGCTGTATTTGACATCATGTTTTGATATTTGATTTTGTCTCTTACCGTATATTATATATATATATACGCACCTCACATATTTACCTGTGAGATATGTACTAATCGAACTCACGGTCGATGATTCGTCACGCTCTATCGAATAATCATTGGCGGACTGTACACACAGTGATAATAGACAACATTCGTTATGGGGAACAGGTCCAAGAAGCGTAAGAGTAAATCCACTCATTATGACAGTAGTAGCAGTAGTGTCAACAATACTGCTGAATCTACAGCTTTCAGCACCATCGAGGAGGAAAGTTCCGGCAAGTCTGCGGGACCCTGTGCATCCACGCCAGCAGCCGTAATGCCCGGTGTCACAGATCTTAGTGCAGTACATAGAAAACTTGATTTTTTAATTACAAAAGTCCAAAAGCTAGATCTTATTGAACACCAGATGAAAAATATTGAGGTCTCACTATCGCACACCATCAGACGAGTCAATGAATTTGAAAAAAAAATAGTTGAGTTTGAAAAGTCTGTAGGGTTTGTATCAAGCAAATGTGACGAATTCAGCAAAAAGTGTAGTGACCTAGATAAACTTACAAGCAAATGTGACGAACTCAACAAAAAGTGCAGTGACATTGACAAACTTTCTCGGCATATGAATGATCAGCAAAAACAAATAAAAGCCGCAAATGTAAAAATATCTGAAGTTATGGAGGCTAGATCCATGGACGTACGGGACAACCTGTCTGAAACAGTGTTGGACCTACAATGC